AACACAGCTGTCCCCAGGGGTCCAATGTAGTGTACCCCTGCCCTAACACAGCTGTCCCCAGGGGTACAATGTAGTGTACCCCTGCCCTAACACAGCTGCCCCTAGGGGTACAATGTAGTGTACCCCTGCCCTAACACAGCTCCCCCCAGGGGTCCAATGTAGTGTACCCCTGCCCTAACATAGCTGTCCCCAGGGGCACAATGTAGTGTACCCCTGCCCTAACACAGCTGCCCCCAGGGGTCCAATGTAGTGTACCCCTGCCCTAACATAGCTGTCCCCAGGGGCACAATGTAGAGTACCCCTGCCCTAACACAGCTGCCCCCAGGGGTCCAATGTAGTGTACCCCTGCCCTAACATAGCTGTCCCCAGGGGCACAATGTAGTGTACCCCTGCCCTAACATAGCTGTCCCCAGGGGCACAATGTAGTGTACCCCTGCCCTAACACAGCTGCCCCCAGGGGTCCAATGTAGTGTACCCCTGCCCTAACATAGCTGTCCCCAGGGGTACAATGTAGTGTACCCCTGCCCTAACACAGCTGCTCCCAGGGGTACAATGTAGTGTACCCCTGCCCTAACACAGCTGCCCCCAGGGGTACAATGTAGTGTACAGCTGCCCCCAGGGGTACAATGTAGTGTATAGCTGCCCCCAGGGGTACAATGTAGTGTATAGCTGCCCCCAGGGGTACAATGTAGTGTATAGCTGCCCCCAGGGGTCAAATGTGGTGTACCCCTGCCCTAACATAGCTGCCCCCAGAGGTACAATGTAGTGTACCCCTGCCCTAACACAGCTGCCCCCAGGGATCCAATGTGGTGTACCCCTGCCCTAACATAGCTGCCCCCTGGGGTACAATGTAATGTACACCTGCCCTAACATAGCTGCCCCCAGGGTACAATGTAGTGTACCCCTGCCCTAACACAGCTGCCCCCAGAGGTACAATGTGGTGTATAGCTGCCCTAACACAGCTGCCCCCAGGGTACAATGTAGTGTACCCCTGTCCTAACACAGCTGCCCCCAGAGGTACAATGCAGTGTATAGCTGCCCTAACACAGCTGCCCCCAGGGTACAATGTAGTGTACAGCTGCCCCCAGGGTACGATGTAGTGTACCCCTGCCCTGACACAGCTGGAACATTCTAAAAGTGACATAATACCCTTTCACTCACTCAATATGTAGACAGGTATTTGTTTAAATAATTATTTTGGCACCTTGTCAATCATAACACACATGCAAAATAATCTCTACTGCAAGATAGCTTTGTGCAAAGGGGCCCTGCACCTGGTTCATATTAATTATTATCTTTTCATGACCCTCCCTTAGACTAAGACTGTCATATATTTTTCATGAGCCTCCTGATTTCTTCTGACCCACCCGCCCCTAAAATAAATGAACGGTCTCTAAGATTAATAATTCATAAAATATGCAATAAGATTAATAATTAAAGAGTATTTTTTATTTTATTTTTAAAACTACCTAAGTTGATTTTTATGGGTAGTGGAGTGAGAGTGAGAGAGTGAGAGAATGCTGCATAATGCATTATTCAATCTTTATTACTGTGGCCTGTAAATAACCATCTCAGTAACTGAAAACATTAACAACTACCGTATACATCATCAGGCCAAGATGACAAGCTACTGGCCAAGTCAGAACACCTTGCAGTGTATGATAGGTTGGACCAAATTTACCCCGAATCTCACTGAACAAAAAAAAAGTGAGGGATCATGGATATTTTCAGGGATTTTTTTGTTGTGAAGAGTTTATTTAAATGTGAATGCTATATAAAAATATTTCATGACCCCTGACTTCTTTTGTTCAGTATATTTGTGATGTCATGGTGCGTCTGCTTAATGTGGAAGAAAGCCCAAAAGTAACGCATATCATAAGTTTCCATCCTTGATGAAACCCATGAGCATGGGTACAGCACTGACAAACCAAGGCACATAATCAGCTAATCCTGGTACACCAATGGGCTGCAACTCTGGACAGCAAATTTTACAGCTTCAGAACTCTTCATTCTGTCTTCGACCGCCTCCGTGGTCTAATGGTAGAGCGTCCGCCCAGAGAGCTGAAGGTCCGGGGTTCGATCCCCGGCCACGTCATACCAAAACACGTTAAAAGATGGTACTTGTTGTTACCCTGTCTGGCGCTCGGTATTAAGGGTTAAAGCAAGGACTGGTCGGCTCGGAGTCAGTATACTGTGTCTGAGTTGGGTATTCATGTTAAACTGTGGCATGGTTTCTCAGTGGGCTAGCACTATAAGATTGGCATCAGTCTGGTCTAGTACAAGCAGCCACACACACACACACACAATGTGCATGCACGTCGCTATATAAGTGCAATAATCTTGGATGCGACGTTAAACCCAATTTCTTCAGTCATTGTTTCCCAAACTGTTTAAGTACCTGCACATCAGATGGTCCAGAGTAAGTGAGCGAGTTGGGTTTTAACACCGAAAAGTACTCGTTATATCACTGCATGTTTGAAGTTGATACTCTTTGATCTTGTTGCATTGTCATCCATTGATTAGTCTGATAATGCCTCTTGTGTTGTGAACAAAGTAAAAAAGGCAACAGAACAAAAGCGTACAAAAACTTAATTTTATTTATAGAATTTTGTCAGGTGAAATTGAACAATTTTGGGGGAATTATTTCAGCAATTACAGTTCTATACCCAAACCAATCTGACTTAATAATACCCTATATATATACAATAACTTGCATGACTACCAATACATCGGTCCAAAAGCTATATATATCCAGCTCTTTTAAAGTGCAATATTTTGTTTCTGCCATAATATATGGCATGAATAATCCCAAAAGGTTAATATTAAACAATTTAGAAATGCCAATCACCCTTCCACCAATCAAATCAACCCTTTCTGCCAAGTGAAAGGGAGACAACTCTTAAAAAAGAGTGCAACAAGAGCAACCTTTAAATACACATTGATTCACAAAGAAATGAAGTTCTTTACAAAAGTAAATATGAATATGAGAGGTGCAACATCAGTTTTAACATGTGAATTTTGGTCATATTCTAAATACAAATAGTTCATCCATGCTCAATTATCTAAAGATTTGTTTTGTCATCAATTAACATAATTTCACCCTCATTTATAGACATTAACTTCTGATTGTGGCATATCTGTTTTGTGCATACATAGGTTAATCCCCAAAACTCGGCATAGTGATATCTTACCGGTATTCCCAGTGAGAACTTAACATCTGTTTTCACCAAATGCAATGGATACTTTCACTCAGACTCAGGGGGGGGGGGGGGGGGGGGGGTGACCACACATTTTTAATTAATTATCGTTTCACAGGCCCTCCACCCTTACTAAAAAGCATCTTGAAAAGGAATAAATTTATCATTCAAATACTCATTTTCATTGTCTCCCGCAAGTAACATTGACCCTCTTACACAATATAAAATAATAGCCAGCTGCAGTTTTAACTCCACGCTGAATGACTTTAATATAAATAAATACATGATTGACATAGCTATTTATTTTTATTTTTATTTCGACCGAAGTCTGTGAAACATAATATTAAAAATGTGTGACCTTATGCACACAAGACATGCCAAACACAGGCCAGATTTTAATTTTCCCCATATCAGATAGGTCAGATGAAATAAACAGTAACATGAAAATCTGATCATGCACCCTCAAAACTCGAAGCCCATTCTAAAAACTAAACCACATATGTCCAGTGAGGTGTCACCAGTTTCGGCCACCATGCATTCCGAAGCATGAAAGCTCAGACAAAAACCAACCATATTTCACAAGCTCAAAATAATTTAAAGAAACTCAAAGCAAATCTATGATCAGTTGATTTGAGTTTCCATTTTTTTAATCAATAATTTCAGCCTGGAAAGGACTAAGAATATTGGTTGTGAAAACAAACTCTGAAACCAAGTTTCAAACTGGTTATGCCATATCACACTGCTCCAATAGTTTTATTTACATTTCAACTTTCAAACTGCCGATATAAACGTAACATATAACTTGGAAGTACAACCAAATTATGGAACGACAATAACATTGTCATAGAACTGCAATTTAGAATCAGTCTAAAATCAAGTTTTTTGCTTCCAGACATAGCTTAGATTTCTTAAATCAATTGTTTAGAGAAGTTGTTTGGAATTTTTCTCTACTGAGAAACCTTGTAAATCCGGGGGTACTGTCCCCAGTTATTTTGTCAAGATTAACGAATTTCTGTATAACTCATTGTTATGAGTTATGTCCCTTTACAATAGACACCCCAACAATTGTTCGGAATATAGGGTGTCCACATTAAAGGGGTACGGACAAACAAGGTTTCACTGTATTTAAGAAAGTCATTCATTATATCGAATGTTCAACCATTCCCATACTGCTGATCAATACAAATTAATAATGCTGTTTATTTTCCCTTTGTCATTTGTCAGCCAATGAATGAACCAAGTCCGGCCTTAGACGTGATGTCAAAGTGGATACCTATCTCGCAGATACGATCGTCTTACACGTTATTTCAGGTCTAACCAGAGACTACATCAGATCAGGCTCCGTCAACAGTAACACAAGCAAGTATGAGATAACTGGATAGCCGTGATCCAGTAAAATATGCCATTATTTCATTCTAGTCAATTTTTGACAGGTCAAATATGGATTATCCACAAGCCATTCCTTTACATATCAAGAAATATTCACAGAACAAATACTGTCACTATAGAACATGGATCTTGGCCGATTGCATAGCATACCGTAAAGGGAGATAACTGTTTTCCTCAACATTACATGTGATCTACATCCGTAATAAATAACATAACCGAAGATAACACGTCAGCTGTTTATCAATAAAGTGAAAATATCAATCCGATTACTGGTGATCAACAAAACGTGGTCCTTACAGCATCTGTCACGTTCTGAGAACGCAACCAAATCCTGGACAGAGTACCAAGTGTGACTGACTACATTTGCAAACTATCACTTTGGGACCTAAAAGGTTCAATTAAAAAAGAAGTCTATAAGATTTATTGCCGTTTATTTTCAAGTCTATACAAGTTCGTGTCCCAAATGAAAGCCTGCCAGCATTCATGTGTCGCCAGTGGAATGATCGTCAGGAATCGACTTTCACAACAAGTTTCCGAGAGTCATGTCAAACCTAAGAAAGTACAATAGAAAAAAACACAATGATGGGACTGGATATACTAGAGCTTCGATTTCTTCCCATCATAAAATATTTATCCGCACTATTCATCTAAACATTGGGAAATAATAAATACACAAGGGGTAATGAATTATTCAGATTTATTCTTCAAATTCAGAAATGAAACAATTCTCAACATGAGATTTGCATCACGTGTATTCTGGGATTTAGTAACTTGACCAAATAAACTTTTCCTCGTCAGAAAAAAAAGTAACAAAGGATAAATGGTTGCATTTCTGTGTTTCTCAAGGAATTTCTACAAATTAACAAATCTCCTGAGTTATAGTTTGTCTAATAGAAATGATCGTTATTAAAGCATTGAAGATGAGGTATTTCATAAAAATGGCTGGAAAACTACGTCTGTGAAAATTACACGACATACTATCAAAAGAAACAAAACACTAACATAGTACCAAAGGCGCTTATTAAACAATATCAAGAATTCTTTACCCCAACTTTAAAGAAGTCTGGCAAAAATGACCATTTCCCATGAACTAAAACCAACAAATGAAAAGCAGCTGAACAGTAGCTGAAAATCAATCAGAATTTGATTTCATTCAAGTGAAAACTGTATGAAATCAACCTACTGGGTATGTGGCCATATTCTGATTACCTCCCCCTTTCCAATTACCTCCCCTTTCACTAGTATAACCAGTGACTCCAACTTACCACTCAGAATGAAATGTGAATCTAAATTGGCCATGGATGCCATGGTATAGGCAATGTGTGTAAAATTGACTTGATTTAAAATACTTCAGGACAACCTATAACACTGGATATAAGACATCAACCCAAAATTGAACCCATGCTTTTTGATGATTAGAGTTGTGATGAAATGTGTTGATTAATTTTCATGTATTCATTTTCAGTGCATTTCAACATGACTTATCCCGTTCCCATAACACGCAAGAATTTCCACAACTTTTGACAAAAGAAATAAGGATGTACAAAGTTTTTGTCAAAAGCAAGAATCTCAATACAAACAGCTACCAACAAGACCATGAATAAATTACTAGACTGTGCATAACTCATGCAAAATCAATATATAATAATTTATATCTGCATATTGTTTTGTGCTTAATCTCAAAGCATATTCTGTCTTCTAAAAACAGCCACTTTGACCAAAAGATTAATATATTTGGAACCATCTCCAAAGGGCCGATATATCCATCAGAATGTTTCAGTCCAGCAGCCTCAACCAATAATTTCTCAAACCGATCCAGAAAAAGTAAGAGAATGTCATTAATATTGCAGAAGAATGTTCACTGTTAATAAATGATTCATAACCAGAAAATTTGAAATTGAATAAAACGTTAGTTTCTTCTGTGTTTCCCCACATAGCTAAATAGTTTCCAGTCCGATAAGGAATGCAAATGAAAAAGCCTGCCATTTTATTATGTCCTTCCAAATTATTTGGCGTACAGATTGACAAAGAGCCGATGGCCAGCAAGCTACAACCAAAATGTACATAATCTACAGTTTGGATTGTGAACCCAGTTTGAAGGCGACAGTTTTGTTTTGATGCAGGCACTGCACCATAGCAACATACAACAGTAGGGTCACATAACTACATGTCTTTTGGCTTAAGTTGAATCAGGTTCTTTTAATGACATACTGAATTTAGAGAACAAATTCAATGACAAATCTTCAAAATGAGGTCATTTTTTATTTCATGTTTATAAGTTATCGATCGTAACGAAGCAGATTCTTCAATACATTGAATCTGACATCAATTTACACACACAAATTGCTTGTCAAAGATTAATATGTCTAGTAATTTATTCATTATAGCCTTAAGCTTCATGGTCGTTTACAAATTCATATCCTACATTGACATAGCTAGGTTTCTCACATGCAAACAAGTCTTCATATTAAATTAATTACTTTAGCAAATGTGGAACTGAATTCACAAAGTCATCACAGAATTTCTCAGTTCCCGTTCAAATGTTTAACATATGAACATTAAACAGATCAGAAGAAAAGGGTCAAAAGTGACCTGATCTCCCTTCTGATAATAAATGGGCTTGGCCATTAATTGTTTCCTGCACATCCCATTAAGGGTATAGGTGTGCCATGGCTTGTTTGTAACACTAGAATGTCGTGGCAGATCCTGAGATACAATTCTAAAGAAGATGTTTCTCTTCAACAACGTTCCAGACAACTGTTCTTGAGAACCCGCGGCCAACTTCCTTCACCAGTCAGTTTCGGGACAAGTTCTTTAATAGTCATCAAGGTCATAGTCATCGTAGTCCTCAAACTGGGCAGACAAACTCTGGAAATCCACTTGATATCGAAGAATTCCTGTAACAAGACACAAATGTACACTGGGTCCGCGAGAAGCAACTCAGCTCGTATATCACAACACAAACATTCTGAAGGCAAATTAGGTGAGGTGAGGGGTTTAAGATTATTGCACTCATATAGCGACGTGCATGTACGTGTGTGTGTTTGTGTGGCTGCTTGTACTAGTCCGGACTGATGCCGATTTATAGTGCTAGCTCACTGAGATACCATGCCGCAGTTTAACATGGATACCCCACTCAGACACAGTATACTGACTCCGAGCTTGTTATCCATAAAATTGTGTCTATCTTGTCCGAGCTGACCAGTCCTTGTTTTAGCCCCTTAATGCCGAGCGCCAGACAGAGTAACAACAAGTACAATCTTTTAACGTCTTTTGGTATGGGGGCCGGGGATCGAAACCCCGGACCTTCCGCTCTCTTGGCGGACGCTCTACCATTAGACCACGGAGGCAGTCTGAAGGCAAATTAGTAAGATGGTGCAAACAACAAGCTTACATGAGTGACAGGGGGCATAAACAGTGAAAATGACAGAAAAATATTCCTACGTACCGAATATTTACACAACCACCCCAATCCCCACTGTGTTTGTTTGGTTTGTTGTTCAACGCCGCACTCAGCAATATTCCAGCTATATGACAGCAGTCTGTCAATATTCGAGTCTGGACCAGATAATACAGTGATTGATATCACTAGCATCAATCCATGCAATTGAGATACGATGACATGTATCAACCAAGTCAGCAAGCCTGACCACTAAATCGAGTTAGTTGCCTCTTACGACAAGCATTGGTTGCCAAAGACCTTTTCTAACCCAGTTCTTCATGGGTACCCCCAACTGTATCCAAATGCAAAGGACACCACATTAGTCACAAGGAGTTTGTATCATCCGATACTTTCACATTACTATAGTGAATCCGTCATGGCATGAGATATTAACTATAGTATTCTGAAAGTATCAGGTGTTCAACTTCTTTTGAGTAGTATATATTTCATTACACGTAACAACCAGGTTGCAAGCAAATTCTTAATTCAACAAATATGATTTAAAAATCGATTGTTTGAAAAGTGGTTTGATTTTAAACTTTCGATCCTGCCTCTCATTCCACATTTCCTACCTCCAATGCCTCCAAATCCTTTCACAAACTGGGCTCCTTCTTGGGACTTGTCTGTAATGATTTCAAGGGTGGCACCTGCAACAACACGGACACATTATCAAACCGAGAATCAAATTTCAAACATTCATCATATGATATTGTTTTGTTTGTTTGTGGTTTAACACCGCACTCAGCAATATTTCAGCTATATGACGGCGGTCTTTAAATAATCGAGTCTGGACCAGACACTCCAGTGATTGACATCATGAGTATCGATCCATGCAATTGGGATACAATGACATGCATCAACCCTTAGTGAATCTGACCACCCGATCCCAGTCGTTGCCTCTTACGCCGTAAACAAGCAAAGTCGCTTTTTACAGCAAGCATGGGTTGCTGAAGACATTCTCCCCTGGATCATTCATCTCATGAAAGTGCAAAGGTCTTTATTGTGAGATTCATCAAAGCGTCTAAGATTTTCAAAATCAAAGGGAGAGGACGTAAACAAGCCAATTTGCCATCATAATATGCACAAATGAAGATTCCTTGTTTATAGTTCGGAACCATTCTCCTGAAACATGATTGAGGATGGAGGTGCTGCGCAGGCAGGGAGATAACTCACCATAGTTTTTGTAGTTGTTGGCAAACCACTCTAGTAAGGGCATCTGGTCCACTAGCTCGAGCTCCACTCCCGTCTGGAAGCAATCATTGATCATAAATCAATACTTTATAAGTGCGGGTAATCAGCGTCATCATAGGCACTGAAGGTATGTTGATGAATGCCCCAATCAGCAATATTGCAGCTGTACAAACACGTAATTGATGATGCCTTTTAGAAAGTGAGTGAGTGAGTTGGGTTTAACGCCGCTTTTAACAGTATTCCAGTTATAAGTCGCGGCGTGTCAGCTTAATGTGGGAGGAAAGCCCGAAGTGATGCAGGCCTCAGACGTTTACCACTTCGGTTAAACCCACGAGCACGGGTATGGTGCTGACAAACCTAGAAACATAATCGGGGCGAACCGGGATTCGAACCCACGATCATAGGTTTCTGGCTTGCCCAAGGGACGCAACTCTGCACAGCGAATCGCGACGCCTTAGATGACTGGGCCACCCGTGCCCCCTCTTTTAGAAAGTGGTAAATGTGACAGGTTATATTTTGGGTTACACTTTTTCAGTAAAGTGCAAGTTCTAGTCTCATCACAGTGTGGGAACGAATCCCCAAAAAGGTTTTACAAAAAGGTGCTAGAATATGCACTATCCTAAGAAAGCGTACTCCCAACTATAACATGTGCTTCTTGTACCATGGTGATGTACAATTCAGACCCAGAGTTCTTCAGATAACTGTGGTACGTTATTCATCCTTTTCCTTCAAACTTGACGCTAGATCGCGAGTCCAAGACTACTAAAATGTGCTGAGTACAAGTAGAAATCAAAGCATTTGAGAGCTGTCATTCTGAACCAGTTTCAATGTTTCACTTTTGCTACAAGTAAGCATGGTTTTACGTCGAGAAATGAGCTTCACACATTGTACCCATGTGGGAAATCAAACCCGGGCCCTCAGCATGACAAGCGAGCGCTTTAATCACGAGGCTACCACACCTCCCCTCTTTCGCTATGAAATGGAAGTGAGTTAAACTGATAGAAAATGGCAAACTCTTGGTACAACTTCTTGTACATGCAGATCCTATTTTCCACATACAGCCAAGTCCCGTTAATCCGACATGGTCGGTTGCATATGATTATGTCAGATTAACGAGTATGTCGGATAAACAAAATTCAGTAGTATCAACGTTTGAATCGAAAATCGGACAACTACACGATAGATAACGATACACACACTAATTGTTCATTAATTGTTTATTGTTAAGCAAGTTTATCTCTGCAGCCGTTTGCAACTACCAGCCGACTTGTCTTGCATCAAAACACGGGATGTGTACGTGCGGGTGGATGACCACGGAGTACACTGATCACTGTGTCGGGTTAACGAGACTGACTTATGAGTGATTTCGGTAATTCGTTGCAAATTAGGTGTGCCGGAGTCGGAGTGTGAGACTGTCGGATTAATGGGTCTAAATAGCACTGATTTAATTGGTTCCCATCATTAGTGTCAGATAAAGCCGATTGTCGGATTAACGAGACTTGAGTGTACTAAAGTAAATATTTCTTAGCCTTGTCTGTCACTACCAGAGAAATATCACTTCGGCATTTCCGCCATTTTGTAAGTCAATTTTCAAAGGAAACATCATTTGTGAATGAATTTCTGCGTACATTTTACACAGAACGATACAAACAATAACGAAACTTCTTACATATTTTTTATCCAATGTGGTATAACACACAAAAATATTATAACATGTGTGAAAAGGGTGTTGCAGTGTACCAGTAATACCGTGCAGTCCTCCAGCTAACTGTCCATAACCATGACAACACACAGACCATCATCCCCTACTCCCTAGACACAATGAAGAGAATAACCATCAAGCTACAATGAATTATGGATTATCTGCCAGGCGTGAATGAATGGCGCAAGTCCCAAGCCTCCCAAGACAATACTCACATCCTTATCTGTGAAGTATGTTTTGTCCTTCTCCTGTTCTGGCTTCAAGAAAATAATTTTCTCCTCTGAAAATAAAAATGTTTTACTAAATGCATATTTTGTTCAATAAACACTCGTACTAGTTTCCCAAACTAGGCTTACCTAAGAACTAATCTCCCCTCAGATGTCATTGTAGATGTACCTTGATCCCCATTAAAGTAAGGTTGATGCCAAGTTATGACGAAACAATGTCTATTTTGGGGGTGGGGTATGTTTTTTTCAAGTTACAAGATCAATTGAAACGCTGCTGCTAACAAAGGATGATCAACATCATGGTGTTATTATCAACATGACAAATACAATTCTTTGGTTGCATTTTCTTCTAAATAGACATTTGAAAAATTAAGATCACTTTCAACAGCCAAATTACTGATCCTTAAATTGACAGTAAGATCCATAAATCATATCAATATGTTGTGGCCTTAAGCATGTTAAGTGAATACTGTCACAGTGTCTGTTGTGTGACAAAGCACTCAGCAATATCCCAACCATACGACGACGGCCTGCAAATCTCTAAGCTCCACTAACATGACTAAGTCTTCTCTGACGACAAGCATACATTGCTGAGGATTTATTTAATCTAACCTTGACTATCCTTCTCTGACGACAAGCATACATTGCTGAGGATTTATTTAATCTAACCTTGACTATCCACGTAAGTTCTACCACAAGACTTTTACCCTAAGCAAGTGCTGACAAGGTTGACGTTGTTACCTAGGTGAATATAGGATTCAAACCCACAATCATAGGTTTCCAGAACGCCCAAGAGATTGCCATAATTTAAGATTATCCCCAACCTGTCCTCGTAACGAAGCTTACCATCAGTTTGATGGTTTTTGAGCGTGAACCTCTGGATGTCAAGGTTCTCCCACACAATGAGGATGTCCACTGCTCCCATCTCCATCGCCCTCAGTGTGTCCTCAACACCAAAACAGAACTTGCCTGTGTCCTGGGAAATCTCATCGAAATACCGGCCTTAAAGACAAGAATAAACCATAAGTGAAAGTGTCACATCACACAACTTTCCATCTCTCTGCAAGCATGGGTTCAACTCAGACTGAATCTTGTTTTACATCTCAGTTGGCATCATATCCGCTTTTTCACAGCCCGTTTGAAATTATTTTAACATAAAATGACAAAAACAATTCATGTTGACTGTTCGTTTCTGTAACAATGTGTAAACATACATGCAACTTTCGTACAGTGAGGAATAATGTTAGTAGGGAGGTCAAGCCCGGCGGCCATCTTGTTTATTAAATGAAGATTAACAAAATTCATCACATTTCAGCTTCATTAACAGAAAGAACAAGAAGATTCATGCTTATGAAGAATGTCTAAATAAAACATTATGTCTATTCTTGTTTGTTCTCTTTGCTTATTTCACCATGAATAGAATGTTTATTTAAGAATGCAGCTTCTTTAGATTACAAGGGTATGCACTTATTTGCCAAAATGGCACCATAAAATCTTGGTACCTTTGACATTGAGGGAAAAACTAGGAGGTGTGCCTGGATTCACATTACAACAATACTTATATCACATGACAGATGGAAGACTCTATTTTACGACTTTGATATCGTTCTGGAGCTAGCGGCGCGAAATTTGAAAACACCAATCATTCAAAGGTAAGTTTACTAAAATTTTCAGTGAAAATTTTAAAATGGCGGCAAAACGAATAGCTACTATGTATTTCAAGACTATCTAGTTTCTAAATATTGTAATCGAAAAACTGTAAAATTATAGGCACACCTACTTTTTTCTCAACAAAGTTCCATCGTTTTCATCTAGCAGCCGACATTACCGCTGATCAGACGAGCTTATTGTGGAAGGGGACAATGCCAAAGATGGAAGTGTCCCACGGACAATGTGACAGGTAAAACCCGTTAAAAAAAATTACATAAGTAGAATGTTGGTTAATCAAAAAACATGTTTCCTATATCAGATATCAATTGATGTTATTTGTTGAAAAAGAAAAAGAAACAATAGGAAAAAGATTACAGAGTTACTTCCTCTCCCCTATCAATAAAATTAAACTCGTCCAAGGTTTTTCCTAGCTGTCGCTTTCAGTAGAAGTCTTGACAATAAACACATTCAAGACTTCGTGTGTATATTCACAATCCTGAAATGTCCCTCAAAATACACTTCCATTGAAATATTATATTTGGAACACATTCTGTTTACATTTCATCCTAATTAGGCCCAATTTCCATCACAGCCGTGACGACAGCTCAGTCGCACTCCGAGTGGGCTTGGTCCATAGTAGGGGTGACAAGGGAGAAAGTACAGGAATTGCTGACACGCCCTGTCTTAGTTGGGGGGACTTAGTCTTTTGTAGACGTTGTAATTTGTATTGATAGGCAACAAACATTTATTGTTGGGGTTACACAATGTAAAACTTTATTTTTATGTACATTGAGATTTTCATGGCAGCCCATTTCCCCGTATGAAAATGGACTAGTCCACGTTTCGTAGCGCGACTGTTTACAACTTCATTATTTTTTAAAGAAGGCATTTTGTGCGATTTCACATCTGGTTACCATCTACACACATACTCGAAAGCCCAGCACTTAGAAAAAAGATTATGTCAGCAAGATTCAACTAGCTGCCACTGAATTGCCGTCATACAAACATGAAAACAATTGTCAATTTTACTTCCGGTTTGCTTCGCGTAAAGATGCCGTTGACTTATCAAAATGAAATTGATGGCACTTGAAATATACCCCGGTACTTTATCCTGACAACGTAAGTGAAATGTTGCTAAAAAGTCATGAAGTTAATTGTATACGCTATACAATTAGAAGGAAATGTTGACAATGTATTTGAACATTCCAAAATTTTGTTTTTATATCTACCAATGAAAAAATGACTGCGAAAGGGGGTGGTGATGGTCAAAATATAATACAACTGCAGGGGGAGTGAATCATGAAAATAGTTACAGTGCTATATTTCCAAACAAAAATAAATTATGTTATAGAAATTAACACTGGAATTCCAATCAACTTAACATGATTTCATTATGTAGACTGCATCCTTATTCACCAAATATTTATCAATTTAAATATTGTTATCCGTGTATTTATTATATGATTATCATCACTTTAAAATAGATCTATACAGATTTAAAATTACATTTAGCAAACTGAACAATAATTGAATGGCCCTAGTGTGTGATAGTGAGTGATATGACTTTGTGTTTTATTTATAACCTATCCCATATCACACTTTGCATCTATTCAGCCGTTTGACAGTGGGGTATAAATACCCAAGCTTGTAAAAGACCTATTATATATTAATGAGATTAAGTCAGGTAAAAATAATTTTTCATGAATATAATTACACATTACAATTGCTTGAATCTTTTCTTCTTATATCTCCCTTGATACTGAACTGGATATGAGTTCAAGTGATTCCAAATATTTGTTACAGATGACTGGTCACTGGATGAGATTAGCCCACCAGTCTTCTGCTCCTTGGAATTCTGAAGGCTGGTTCGTCAGGTGAAAGACAGCAGTGAACACGTCACATTTAATACAAATTTAAAATGTGTATTGTAATATCTTCACCAGACTTGTAAGTGTGTACTCGGTCCGGTCAGTCCGAGCGATACAAATGCAAATAAAATTGATCAAAACTGCATATCAAGGTTGTCGTTCTTTGTATTATAGAGGAGATAAAACCTTGTTACTTGCAGTAAGAGTAACATGATGATGCACCCCAAATGGAGCATTGAAAGATGTGCATGCCTTCCAAAATTCACTGAGATATCTTCATTAAAAAAATAATTATGTTCAATTGTGTGCATGTCATTGAAGGAATTCCCCTTGCAATATGACGTCATTGGTGCCAATTGATAAACATTATGACGTCATGATGCTTTGTTAGAGCCGCTTCACGTGGTGTAGGTACAGTTTTGTGATTCTAGCCTCTCAGATGCCAGCCAGAATTGTGTTATGCTGAGTCACCACTGCGCCGGAGTGTGTCGTAGACCATGTTGTTTTACCGCAAACTGGTCCTTGATATCTTTTGCGTTGAGAATAGACAGGGACCCAGTTGAATTGGCACCAATTACGTCATAATCTAAGGGGGATAACTCAGGCCTATTTCGCTCGTAAAACGAAGGCCTCATAACGACATATCATTTTAACACTATTGTGAGCTTCCTACTTTCACTGTGAAAAAAAATGAGCGTATATTTTCAAACACAGATACTAACTAATTCTAAAATTGCGTTTTGTTCAGAAAAAGAAAGAAAGTGATTTTTGCGTGTACACTTCCCCTTTAAAACAGCCATATCTCAAAAAGTTGTTGACATAAATTAAAAAGGAAAAGTGTTTTTTATTCATTTTCACATAAACTAAATGTAGATGCATAAACCTGTATAAAATAATTTATGTACAAAATAAGCCTGACCTCCCTAATGTTAGATTTGCATGACATTTCTGCAGCATATTTGCCTTATTCTGTAGCAGATAAATGCAAATTTCTGCACGAGTCTAGCACAAAAAGTGATTATCAAGAGGACATTTCCGCAAAATATTCTGTGAAGGAGGAATACAGCATGGACTGAATGACACAGGCTGCTTACCTATGAGTTTCTTTTCCTGTATAAACTTGACGTTGGCTAAGGCATCCGATGCCAGTTCTATTGCTTGGTTGAAGCCATTTTCACCTCCATAGGAGACATCAACTATTTTGATAATTTTTGCTTGTAACCTCTGAAATGAAAGCAAGCTGGGTCAGATTGAGGAAACTATACGAGAAACAAACTGAACACAATGCTGATTCTAACTGATGCAGCACCGCACTCAGCAATATTCCAGCTATATGACCGCAGTCTGTAAAATAATCGAGCCTGGACCAGACAATCCAGCGATTGACATCATGAGCATCGATCCACGCAATTGGGATCGATGACATGTATCAACCAAGTCAGTGAGCCTGACCACCCGATCCCGTTCGTCGCCTTTTACGACAAGCATAGTCGCCTTATACGGCAAGTATGGGTTGCTGAAGACCTATTCTACACAGATGTTCACGGGTCCTGCAGAGGTAAATGCTCCTTTTATAGACGTACGGTCATGACTGTTGGCTACTCTCTAATCTCTTAATCAAGTTTTTTGTTGTTCAACGCAGCATTCAACCATGGTGCAATGTTGTTCTTTTTTCTTCACTTCACCATGTGCAGTCTGCATGTTCACAACTGATAGCACAACAGATAAACGGCTGCACCTCAAACTTTACTGGAAAATTAAACACGTACAGGGAAGATTGGCAATCTGTAGTTTACATAAACACCTGCACCAGCGCAGTCTTGTCAGTGCGAAATCGCACTGTCAGCATATTCCAGCTGTATGACATCGGGATGTAAATAACTGAGTGTGGACCACACAAGCCTGTGATTCCTATTATGTACAGCGATCCTCCTCGTCAGGGTACTAGGACATGCTATCAACCAAGTCACCCGATCCATTTGGTCCACTCTTGTGACTTGGGTCTATCCTAACCCAGAATCTCAACAGGGAGGTCAGCATAAGTTGTTAGAGACCTAACCCCAAAACCCCACTGGGAAATCAAGTATGCATAAGACAAACTAGTGGTTGACATTATTAGCAACATCCCATATCTTTGGAGTACAATGACAACCAATGAACAAAGTCTGACAACGAACCATTTGTCACCTCTTCCCAAAGGCAATGGTTAAAAATCTGCCCAGAATCACCACAGTAGGTTTAATAAAGTTGACTAATCTGTAAATCATGATTCTGAAAACATATTGCTCTTTCCTACACTGTTTTTTTGTTGTTTAACGCCACACTCTAGCTATATGGACCAGACAATCAAGTGATTGACATTGATCCCCGCAATAGGACTACGACGACATGCATCAACCAAGTCAACAAGCCTGACCACCCGATCCCGTTAGTCGCCTCTTGTAACAAGCATAGTCGCCTTTTATGGTAAGCATGGGTTGCTGAAGACCTATTCTACCCGGGATCTGCACGAGACTGTGCACTGCAACATATGGATGCAAATAACATTTGACAAATAACCACTGTAATGAATTCACTTACAGGGTCAAACATATCGGACTGGCTAAGTTCTGTTTTGAAGTCAGCTGAACCGGCAAGGACCAAACCTGCAATGTTTGGCTTGTCATTTGAGATGAAGAGTTGTACTGCGACTTCGGCAACTTTTCTGACGTAGTTGTGTCGTTTTTCCATTCTGAGACGGGCAAAACGCAACGCTGACTGACCTCCTCTACCTGTGAAGTAAACAAGGAAATGTTGACTCAGTGAAATCATACCATAAAATTGAATGAAAGTTGTAAAAGCTACTGTCAGCAATATTCTAGCTATATCGCAGCAGCTTGTAAATAATCAAGTGCAGAATAGGAAATCTCAAAACCAAAAGTTTCAGTTATGATACATGCCAATCTACAGGTTGTCTAAATTACATTAAATGCAATATCAACCTTAGTCAATATGCAAATCTGTATCATATTAAGCTGATTAAATAATCAGATACTAATTTTACTTGGGATATCTTTAATTCCAATTTAGGAAGTTTTACCGAATTGTGCTGCTGACATAGGGCTGATTATCGGCCTCTAAAATGCCTTGAAAAAAATCCCCGACAAGGACCTATTTGACTCCCACTCCCCATAGTACATGGTGAGACAAGCATGGACAAGCAAAATCCATGTCTTATTCCTCTCTCTCTTCCCCACGTTGACATCACAAGAAAAAGGTCAAATCTCATTCAAATGTAGAACCAACATGAACGAGTGAGAATTGTACACGCTTTATGCAATATTTCATCAATTTTCCTGTGGAGAGCTGTCACAAAGAGCTTCGCAAATGGGAAATTGAAACTGGTCATGGGGAGACAAGCAAATGCTTTAACCACAAGGCTGTGCCTACAATCTTCATGCATGTATATCAGTTATGAAATTCCATGTCACTGCTACTAACAACTTACCATGCTTCTTTGGTAGATCGACTGTGAACTTGTGAAGGACTTCCCTTGTGTTTCCTGATAGTGTGCCGAACAATGCCCCATTACCATCCATCACTATAAACCCGAATTTGTTGTCATCAGCTAATAGTGCTGTCAAGGCCTGAAACGGAGACAATAGTTGGGGTTGTACCACTATTGTTATAAAATCACAAGTACCTTCACATTCCTTGCATAATGTCAAAAAATGTTGGGTAAATTCAATGAATTGATGGAGAAGTCTTACACACTTAAGGGAGATGCATCTAATTAATTTCTGAAATAATTTCTGAATCAAGTTCATATCCACAATCTCATGTGTCTGTTTAAACAAAAAGAGTGAGTGAGCGAGTTGTGTTTAATGCCACTTAGGACAGTATTCCATTCATATCATGGCGTCCAAGCTTAATGTGCATCACTTCTGGCTTTCTTCCCACATCTCAGACATTTACCACATTGGTGAAACCCAAGAGCACAGGTATGATGCTAACAAACCTAGAAACATTATTGGGGGAAACTGGGATACAAACCCACAATCACAGTTTCCTGGCGTACCCAAGGGACACAAATCTGTATATCAAATTTAGGAGTCTTAGATGACTCAGACGCACTCAGCAATATTCCAGCTATATGATGGCAGTCTGTAAATAGTCAAGTCTGAACCTGACAATCCAGTGATTAATATCATGAGCATCAATCCACACAATTGGGATATGATGACATGCACCAACCAAACCACCCAATACCGTTAGTCGTCTCTTACAACAAGCGTAGTCGTCTTTTACGACTAGCGTAGTCGTCTATTACGCCTTTTCTGACCCGGATCTTCAAAGGTGAGATGAGGCCAATATACGCTGTAATCTCTTTCACAAGTACAGAGTGAAACCTTAATCCAACAGATCCGTTTGCCAGTGTATTGGAGTGAGTGAGTGAGTATTGCTATAAGCCGCTTTTACCAATATTCCAGTAATATCACCATGATCACAGCTGGGGACACCAGAAATGGGCTTTACACATTGTACCTATGCGAGGAATCGAACCTGGGCCTTCAGCATGACGAGCGAACGCTTTAACCACTAGGATACCCCACCGTTCCCAACCCCCCACGTCTCCTGACCTACAGAGTTAATTAATTGGGAGAGTATAATAAAGTTCTTAATGGTAAATTGTGTCACAAAAGCCTATGGAGACAAAGCTTGCATTGTAACTAAAATGCGTCCAACACTGATACTGCATTGCTCACTAACACAAATAGGAATTACCTCTGTGTGGAATTTATTGTCACATAAATACAAGGATGTGTTGATCGGCCGGAACGGCTCAAAGTCAATGTTGACTTTCTTTTCTTTCCCCTCCTCCGTAATGATTGTGCCACAGTATATTACAAGACCATTGGGAGGAACTGAAGAGAAAACACAATAACAATTATTAACATACATAAAGTGTCCCGAATGTTCCCAATGTGTTCAACGTGATGGTCATCAGGCAGTCACTTCATCAATATTTCAATTAAACTATGTTCCAATTTCAGTGAAAAAGTACTTGATTATTTCGCTTATCAAGAACAGATAAAAATTGCATAAAACGATGACACATTAATCAACCAAGACACTGAGTCTGACCGCCCAATAGCATATAGCAAATTCTTTTAAAATGGCAAATTTCTTCTAGTCCATAGGATACCTTAACTATTGGGAAGTTTGACAAGGACTATAGGCCAGGGGACAAGTTCTATCTCTGTTTAAAATAATATTTTACCTTTGTTGTATAGTTTGAGTCTCTGCTGTACAGATGTAATTGCCCCTAACACAGACAGCCTGTTAACTCGACTCTTAATGTTGGATGCTGTCCCAAATTCATCAGCCAACATCTTGTTGACTCGAGATATCTGATCTTTCGGTGGGATGATTAATGAAATCATGCTTGTTCCATTTCTGAAGAAAAAAAACGTTGAAAGGTTATCTACATTCTCTATGTAAATTCTGATACAAACAATCACTCATGAAAGGTCATGTTTTCTCGTGGTAGTGTTTACTTCACATTTTAATGATCACAGCCAAAGCCACAAACAAACCTTATTCATGAGAATTGTGGTGCTGAAAGAAATGTATTGGTATATATATATAAATTACAAATTAATAATCCCATGACATAAAGTTCAACAAGTACAAACTATGAACAATATGGCACGAACATGGAGGAATTTTATGACACAATGGTATAAAGATCCAGTAAGATTTCTTTTATCACTGCAATTGTTGAACTGTGAAGAACGATCCAAACAAAAAGAAGTTTGTAAAAATCAAGTTTTAACTGGGAACCGTCCGATGGGAAAATTCTGACAATTCACGTGGGATAAAAAAAATAAATTTGTTTCTTACCCTCTCGCCGCTTCAAGACTCTTGATCAGCTTCTTTATTTTCCAGATTTCTACATTTCTATCGGCGCTTGATTCGCCTCCATCTACACCATTTGTGGCCATGTTTTATTGCTGAATCCAACAGGTAGACACGACGGAAATACCTTCGTCACGCGTGTCGTCCCCTTCCCGTATGGTGAAGGGTTTACAGTCTAATTTCGCCCCAGAAAAGGCGTTTTAAGCCAAGATGGCTCCTTAATTCCTACTTTACGACCTCTGTTTTCAAAATACTCACATGAGAAATTTGTAAATAATGTCACTGGCTTAAATAAAGAACTTTTACATGGAATTGTGCAATGATGAAGTTCGCCAAGCCATGTGAATGAAGTTTGACGTCACGTTATGGCACAACGCCGAAACAGGACAAGACGACACATCTCATTGGTCATTTGGCAATGATCTAAAAATAAACGCCATAGAAAACACACGAAATTGTGCATACCCGACTTAAACTTAAAAATATATTTATCTGTTTCTATAAGACACAATTTTAGCTATCATATAAGATATAATTCATCGACATAGTTGTTGGACTAAATAAAATGTAATTTCTACCAATAAGATCGCTCGTACTTAAAATGCGCAAAACATGCGAGTACGGAGTTGATCCTAACATGGCGGCTTCCAGGTGTTCACACGTGTGCTGATTGGCGTAGATCTGTCAGTGGAGACCTGTCATATTTATGTAAACAAATGGACACTTCATTGATTGGTTGTCTGTACTGTAGAACCCTTCGTTTGCCCGATTAGTAAACAGACAATCGTGGTGTTATGTAAATGTACTCAATGTAACTCAAATGAATAAAAGTTTAAAATATTTTCTTAGATTAAATTGAAGCAGAGACCGTACGCAATAAGTGATCTCTAAATAAAAAAGATCAACACCAGAAAAATTTAATTTCGATTTGCCGAACCAGGGATTATGTTTGTCATGAATTTTCAGAGATTCAAAACTCTATAAACGTGATCCCTTCAAGTTGGAGTACGGCTTATAAAACAACTCAGAATCTGCTAGATCGAAGTGTTTTTTAAAGTTTGTGAATGTTATATGGTAGCCAAGATATCCAGTACAGTCTAGCATTATTCTGAATGTCTGCTTACCAATTAAGGACAATTTCCTTGCCCGAATGTAGTTTGCATATTTTGATTTGTATTGTATTTAATTGTCTTTTCCCCTTGGGATTAGTGATGACACATGACATTCACTCTCACTTTCTGCAGTAGATTCATTGTATACGACTCTCATGTATACATCTTTTATCACCTATATTTTTATTAGCAATTTGCTTAAAGTTTAGAAATAAGCACAATTTGATAAAAACCTGCCTTTGCTTTTTTCAATTAAGGTGTTTGTCCTTAAATACATACACGTAGGCCTATTTGTGTTTTGTGTCAACTATGTTTGCTGTGTGTGAAATTTGCTGTTCAAAGAGAAAGAATCACTTACTACTGTTGACTAGATGAAAAGCTAGACACACCAGCTATTTCTGACAAGGAGATAATATCACACTGCACTTACTAACTACTGCTGAAAAGAAGACTATTTAACACTGCACTTACTAACTACTGCTGAATAGAAGACTATTTAACACTGCACTTAATAACTACTGCTGAACAGAAGACTATTAAACAGTTCACTTAATTACTACTGCTGACTTGGGGATTATTTTACACTGCACTTACTAAATACTGCTAACTAGGGACATAAACAATCTATACTCACTAACTAATGCTGACTTTGACATAAAACCTTACATTCACTACTGATGACTAAGACATAGCAAAACCAATACTCCAGCAATAGAAACTAACACTTTTAGTCCATTTGTCCCTATTATAATGATAACATATAGCAAAACCCATTCAAAGGGCACATTTTTACTAGTCCTTACGATACCTTAACTATTGGGCGGTTTGGACGTAAAAACTATATTAACTAACTACAGCTGACTAGGACATGAAAATCTGAACTAACCAGAACATAACAATATATACTAGCTGACTAGAACACAAACCTTTGCTCACTAACTACTGCTGACCAGAACAAAAATATTACACTCGCCAACTACTGACGACTAGGACCTACAATCACATGCTTCTGCAGAATATGGAAAACACTCCCAACTGACTAGGTAGGGATTCAGCCCCAATTCTGCAGAAAATGTCAGTAAAAAGTCCAACCTCATATTGTTATATTAATATTGTTATATGTAACTGTGGTGATGGCTTATAGTCCTTTTACTTCAAAATTGTACCGATGAAATGCAAAATAGATATAAATCCCAAAACAATAATTGGTCTTAAATGACATGAAAGTTATTTGTTTTTCCATACCAACTTGTCACCATAATCTCAGACATTGTCATGAAGTTGAGAAAAAGTTGTTCAACAAACTATCATGTAATTGTGGTGTTTCAATGCATGTTGTTACAATGGGGTCTTCGCAATAAACATAAGAGCTATAGGCCACTTCGGAACATAGGGGTAGTCTCAAAACGTCTATTCTGAAATATTTTCATTGTCACTGTCACCGTTACTGTCAACTGAAATAATGATTTGACTGACAGTTGCATGATCTAAACCATCTCTTTTACAATATAAAGCTTTAACTCCGGTCCCAACTTTGTCAGTGCACCCTCTCCGACTAGCAATAATCATGAACGTGAAATACCAAGGTTTTCTTTCAAATCAGCTGTGAATTTCATCATGCACCAAATTGTAATGATACATTGAGCTCGTTCTATTTATTTTATTATTTGCATTTGAAATAAGCCGAATAGCAATACCAAGAACACCACTAACATTGCTTTGATACTATTTTACAGATTCTCATTTTATATTCTGTTTAATTACTACAGACAGATACGCTTCTGATTAAGACTTTTCATTTGAGTGGATTTTAATACAGAAAAGACAGTAGTGGGTTGGCCTAAGGGGCTAACGCACAAGAATTTCATGTGCGAATGTAGGGCTGTTCAATTTACAGTGCAGACCCCCTTGAAATAACATGCATTAAAACACCGACAATTACGTGAGAGTTTGTTAAAGGACCTTTTCCCTAATTCATGAAAATATCTGAAATTATAGTGACGACTTGGTATGGACAAATAAACAACTTTCATGCCATGTAAGACGAATTGTTGCTTTTGGATTAATATCAGTTTTGCATTTCATCGGTACGATATTGCAGCAAACGGACTATAGTCGACATGTCTTCTCTGATAACATGAGCATGGCCTATGAAGGGGAAGAGGCTTTAATGCTTAGTTTAACATTAAATGCCCTGTCAAAATAATATGTCAAAATACCTCTGAAATTAGGCAAATGGGACTTTTGTAATATCCCAATTTTGAACAAAATTGCAATTTTTCCCGAGTTTGATAGGTTACAAATCAGATGAAATGTGAATCAGACACTGTGATACACATGAATGTACTGCTGTGTGAGTCATGTATTAAACTGTGAATCAGACACTGTGATACACATGAATGTACTGCTGTGTGAGTCATGTATTAAACTGTGAATCAGACAGTGATACACATGAATGTACTGCTGTGTGAGTCATTTATTAAACTGTGAATCAGACACTGTGATACAGATGAATGTACTGCTGTGTGAGTCATGTATTAAACTGTGAATCAGACACTGTGATACACATGAATGTACTGCTGTGTGAGTCATGTATTAAACTGTGAATCAGACACAGTGATACACATGAATGTACTGCTGTGTGAGTCATGTATTAAACTGTGAATCAGACACTGTATTAAACTGTTCCTCTAGTTTAGTTTAACTGCACTAAAGGTATTCTCACTATCACACAATCCTTGTACATGTATGTCCTGCTGTGTGAGACATGTATTAAACTGTGCCACTAGTTTAGTTTAACTGCTCTATAGGTATTCTCACTAGCACACAATCCTTGTACATATATGTCCTGCTGTGTGAGACATGTATTAAACTGTGCCACTAGTTTAGTTTAACTTCACTATAGGTATTCTCACTAGCACACAATCATTGTACATGTATGTCCTGCTGTGTGAGTCATGTATTAAACTGTGCCACTAGTTTAGTTTAACTACACTATAGGTATTCTCACTAGCACACAATCCTTGTACATATATGTCCTGCTGTGTGAGACATGTATTAAACTGTGCCACTAGTTTAGTTTAACTACAATATAGGTATTCTCACTAGCACACAATCCTTGTACATGTATGTCCTGCTGTGTGAGTCATGTATTAAACTGTGCCACTAGTTTAGTTTAACTACACTATAGGTATTCTCATTACCACACAATCCTTGTACATGTATGTCCTGCTGTGTGAGTCATGTATTAAACTGTGCCACTAGTTTAGAATAACTACACTATAGGTATTCTCATTACCACACAATCATTGTACGTATATATGTCCTGCTGTGTGAGTCATGTATTAAACTGTGCCACTAGTTTAGAATAACTACACTATAGGTATTCTCATTACCACACAATCATTGTACATGTATGTCCTGCTGTGTGAGTCATGTATTAAACTGTGCCACTAGTTTAGTTTAACTACACTATAGGTATTCTCATTACCACACAATCCTTGTACATGTATGTCCTGCTGTGTGAGTCATGTATTAAACTGTGCCACTAGTTTAGTTTAACTACACTATAGGTATTCTCATTACCACACAATCCTTGTACATGTATGTCCTGCTGTGTGAGACATGTATTAAACTGTGCCACTAGTTTAGTTTAACTACACTATAGGTATTCTCATTACCACACAATCATTGTACATGTATGTCCTGCTGTGTGAGTCATGTATTAAACTGTGCCACTAGTTTAGTTTAACTACACTATAGGTATTCTCATTAACACACAATCCTTGTACGTGTATGTCCTGCTGTGTGAGACATGTATTAAACTGTGCCACTAGTTTAGTTTAACTACACTATAGGTATTCTCATTACCACACAATCATTGTACATGTATGTCCTGCTGTGTGAGACATGTACTAAACTGTGCCACTAGTTTAGTTTAACTGCACTATAGGTATTCTCATTAACACACAATCCTTGTACGTGTATGTCCTGCTGTGTGAGACATGTATTAAACTGTGCCACTAGTTTAGTTTAACTGCACTATAGGTATTCTCATTAACACACAATCCTTGTACATGAATGTACTGCTGTGTGAGACATGTATTAAACTGTGCCACTAGTTTAGTTTAACTACACTAGAGGTATTCTCACTAGCACACAATCCTTGTACATATATGTCCTGCTGTGTGATACATGTATTAAACTGTGCCACTAGTTTAGTTTAACTACACTATAGGTATTCTCACTAGCACACAATCCTTGTACATATATGTCCTGCTGTGTGAGACATGTATTAAACTGTGAATCAGACACTGTGATACACATGAATGTACTGCTGTGTGAGTCATGTATTAAACTGTGAATCAGACACTGTGATACACATGAATGTACTGCTGTGTGAGTCATGTATTAAACTGTGAATCAGACACTGTGATACACATGTATGTCCTGCTGTGTGAGTCATGTATTAAACTGTGCCACTAGTTTAGTTTAACTGCACTATAGGTATTCTCATTAACACACAATCCTTGTAAATGTATGTACTGCTGTGTGAATCATGTATTAGACTGTGCCACTAGTTTAGTTTAACTACACTATAGGTATTCTCATTACCACACAATCCTTGTACATGTATGTACTGCTGTGTGAATCATGTATTAAACTGTGCCACTAGTTTAGTTTAACTACACTATAGGTATTCTCATTACCACACAATCCTTGTACATGTATGTACTGCTGTGTGAATCATGTATTAAACTGTGCCACTAGTTTAGTTTAACTACACTAAAGATATTCTCATTACCACACAATCCTTGTACATGTATGTCCTGCTGTGTGAGTCATGTATTAGACTGTGCCACTAGTTTAGTTTAACTACACTATAGGTATTCTCATTACCACACAATCCTTGTACATGTATGCACTGCTGTGTGAATCCTGTATTAAACTGTGCCACTAGTTTAGTTTAACTGCACTATAGGTATTCTCATTACCACACAATCCTTGTACATATATGTCCTGCTGTGTGAGACATGTATTAAACTGTGCCACTAGTTTAGTTTAACTGCACTATAGGTATTCTCACAATCATTGTACGTGTATGCTCGGAATTCTTGGGCAATCATATTGCAAGTAGACTACACACTTTGAAGTGAACATTTATTGTCATTACTATTCGGGCTCGCAGACTTGACTTTCTCCTGATACAGGACGGTGATATATTATTTCTTAATTTTTTTGAATATAATGTCCAGTTGTATCTGCAATTCACAACATCAGTTGCCTCTATATTATATATTGTCACCATGGCAACGGGATAATACTTCTGTCTGTCGCATGTAGCAGGTGATTGCGACCGTGTGGTGCAACCTTGCCAGTAATCAATGGATGTGTCTTGGTCACCTGGTTTCGCATTTCTTGCCGTTGTGCAATGACAACATGATTCTCTGTTGTCGTGGATTGTTTCAGAACTTGTGTCAGATTGTACATATCAAGACAGGTATGATCTATTTTGGATACTTATAGTTAGTATTCAACCCCCAGTCGACACGTGTGGAAAGTCACGGTGCTCTGACGATGTCTAATGTGGAATGAGAGTCGGAAACCTTTCTTGGCTCACTGCCAGTAAGACTGAATACTTGTTTTGGGACATCTGGTGGAATTGCAAATAGATAATATTGGATGTGTTTCCTAGGATCTATATCTGCTTAGACGACATGATAGATAATACAGATACACTGTATGTTGAATAACATCAATGTGTAAATTACTATATCTGTTCAGGTAGTCAATATGAGCACCAGTCCTTTGACAAATGCATTTTACAATGTTTTTTTTCGTGTCTGTGTGTATGTCTGTCACAGGACAACCAATACGTTGAATAACTATTGCTGTGTTGAAATATGTTGTTGCAAACAAATTTGGAAGTTTCAGTTCATGATAACACACACACACACACACACACACACACACACACACACACACACAGAAATGGGCATGTTTGTCATTAAGTATTATATCAAAGGATTCCCAAGATATTAATTAACTATTGATTGTGGTTAAAATATGTTGCTTGCAAAACAAATTTAGAAAAATTCAATACATGATAAGAGCAGGTACTTAGACGTGTGATGTCAGGAATATGAAAAATTCTTTATGATCATTTATTTATTGGTTGAATAAATAATTTTTTGACAGTTATGATTGATGATGAAAACTCAACAGATTGTCATCACTACAACAGGGCTCCAGACAACTTTGGCCTTTGATTATTTACACCATCATATAGCTGGAATATTGCTGCATGTGGCATTAAACAACAAATAAAAATCCTTATCTCCTTATCACAAATGCACCTTTCCTTTGGTCCAACTCTCAAGCTATGTATTTGTCTATTTCAAAGAAGATTTCTATTTGAGATAGATACGTATTCTGATGTCATTGATATCTCGAATCTGAATCTGTCACAAAATGAACCTTTGTCCCCAAGTGGTGTATAATCACTCAGGATGAAAGATATGGAAGGCCATGATATGATACTTATCTTGATGAACTGATCATGATATGATATGTATCTTCAGTGCGGTAGCCAGCCGGGTGGGCAGGGGGGGCAGTTGCCCCCCCTGGATTTTTTTTTATAGAAAACAGTTTTATTTGAATCAAGTTGGGGACAAGTGATACTTGTACAAATATTTGCTCCCCCTGTAAAAAAAGTTAACTACGGCCTTGATTTTGATACACCGGTAATGATATGATACGTATCTTGATACATTGGCCATGGTATGATATGTATCTTGATACATTGGCCATGGTATTATAAGCATCTTGATACACTGGTCATGATACAATAAGTATCTTGATACACCAGTCATGATATGATACGTATCTTGATACATTGGCCATGGTATTATAAGCATCTTGATACACTGGTCATGATACAATAAGTATATTGATACACCAGTCATGATACAATGCATATCTTGATACACTGATCATAATATGATACATATCTTGATACACTGGTCATGATATGATACATATCTTGATACACTGGTCATGATATGATACGTATCTTGATACACCAGTCATGATATGATACGTATCTTGATACATTGGCCATGGTATTATAAGCATCTTGATACACTGGTCATGATACAATAAGTGTATTGATACACCAGTCATGATATGATACGTATCTTGATACATTGGCCATGGTATTATAAGCATCTTGATACACTGTTCATGATACAATAAGTGTATTGATACACCAGTCATGATATGATACGTATCTTGATACATTGGCCATGGTATTATAAGAATCTTGATACACTGGTCATGATAGAATAAGTATCTTGATACACTGGTCATGATACAATGCATATCTTGATACACTGATCATAATATGATACATATCTTGATACACTGGTCATGATATGATACGTATCTTGATACACTGGTCATTAAATCATACATATCTTGATACACCAGTCATGATATGATACGTAGCTTGATACACCAGTCATGATATGATACATATCTTGATACACTGGTCATTAAATCATAAGTATCTTGATATGCTGGTCATGATATGATACGTATCTTGATATGCTGGTCATGATATGATACGTAGCTTGAAACACTGATCATGATATGATACGTATCTTGATACACCGGTCATGACATATGTATCTTGATACACTGGTCATGATATGATACGTATCTTGATACACTGGTCATGATATGATACATATCTTGATACACCGGTCATTAAATCATACATATCTGGATACGCTGGTCATGATATGATACATATCTTGATATGCTGGTCATGATATGATACGTAGCTTGATACACTGAACATGATATGATACTATCTTGATACACTGATCATTAGATACACTGATTTTGCTAAGATATATAACTCAAAAAGCTAATCACGATACAATATGTATCTTGATACACTGATCATGATAAGAGACGTATCTCGATACGCCAAATTAACCACACATATGACCTGAAATACTCCTATATTTCAGATGAGTGAAAATATGGCTAAAAACTGTCTTTCTTTATACGTGTTCTGATTCACATAACGGTAACAGGGAAGTCAAAATGATTTTAAACAGCTGATATAGGATGAGGACAGCCGTTCAATTATAAGATAACACAGTTTTATGACTTTGGTGTATATTTTTCAGTCTTGACCTGTTCTTGAAATATTTTATTTGTGTTTACGGTCTCATTCATGTTTCAGTGTCTCCATGCGTCGAGGATGCCCGGGTGTGTCATGGTGATGTGTGGCCTGCCTGCCAGTGGGAAGACAACTCTGGTGTCTCAGTTTGCAACCTCCGTGTCAGAAGAGTTCCGCTGTCATGTGGTGGACTATGACAAACTCATGCCGCCACACACAGAGAAACAGCTGATAGACCACAGCGCTCAGGTTCAAGATGTTTCCCTGTGGAAGAAGTACCGAGAAGGAATTATTTGTTGTGTGGACAGACTGTTGGACACAATGAAGGCTCCCCACCCCGATAGTGAACAGGACAAGCAGGCAGACACACATCACAGAGACACACACCACACAGGCACAGACACATATCACACAGGCACAGACACATATCACACAGGCACAGAAACACATCAAGCAGATGCACATCACACAGGCACAGACACATATCACACAGGCACAGACACACATCACACAGACACACAACATGTCGTAATTCCTCAGTCACATGTTGAGGCATCAACACTGTTAGATGATTCAACAGAGCCAACAAGCCAGGATTCCAATCGGCCAGGAGCAAGTGGGACATTGTGGCGCCAGTTTATAACCAGTCTTGGACTAGAACTAGACACCAAAAGTGGTCTCTACACTGGAATGGTGGTTGTTATTGATGACAATATGTACTACAGAAGTATGAGATATGACTATTATCAACTGGCCAGAAAATGTGAGTTTTTGTTTCAGTGGTCAAACGTAAATTTGTCATATATAAACATCTCAGGCTGTCAGCATAAACCACGAAATTTACGATCTTTCAACAAAATAATATTCTAAAAAGAGCCCACTATTTCCGCTTATTATGTCAAATACGGTAGTCTCTTCATGTTACAAAACTGTATATCACTGATGTCCAATAAAAAGAGAGTTGTTTTCTGCGGCTTGGGAGACATCTTCCCGAGGCAAGAGAGTTAACTGACTTTAAAAGTCCAGTTTCCACCCTTGCCAAACTAGACTGGATACTGGGCTCGATCGTAGCGCCACCGGTGGCTATTACCAGTTATGTACCCTTCTAAGCCTCTCCTATGGACCAATCAGATTCCAACTCTCGTATCACTTGCGTTAGCTTCACACAAAATGGTTGCACCCGGTCAGGATGATCTGATCGATATCAAGATCTATATTGTGATAAAACGGGTCTTACATCGCGAAATGCATCAAATCACGTGAGCACCTTGATTAAAAACATGAAAGGATTTGGAAAATATCTGCTGACAACGAATTGGCGATGCACATGCTTTGCAAATCCTGCAGTCAACCGAAATCTGCACGACCGTTTACGAACCGGATTTCAATTTCGGTGCGCGATTTTGATTGGACTATGAATTGACTCGTTAGTCCAGCCAAAATGTGACTCCATTATACCTGCCTAGTTCGGCAAGGGTGGAAACTGGACTTTTATAGTCCGTTAACTCTCTTGCCTTGGGAAGATGCTTGGGAGAGTGTATGAGTCATGTCATAGCATGTCAACTTCTTGCAGGATAAGTAGGTCGTAAACGTTAATCACTTTTTTTAAACCCACATTCACAGGTTTGGTGCTGACAGACCAACCATTCTAATCTGCTTTGAATGTATGACAGTGGATACAAAAGCTAATGAAGTATTGATAAAGACTGATCCTTTCTCTAAGTTCATGGAACACTTTTGTATTTTTCATGGCAGACGGTCTTGGATTCTGTGAAGTGCATGTTGATTGTCCATCTGACATGGCTGTGGCCAGGAACAAGCAGAGAACCCTGGGAAGGGTGGAGGACAATGTCATTGTAACCATGGCAACAAAAATGGAAGTTCCTGATAGTGCAGCCTTCCACTGGGAAAAGTATTCTTTATCGATCACACACGACACAAGGAATGGTTGGTAAGTGGGCAGGAAATATTGAGTGATTTGCCAGTCTCTAGCAACTTCCATATTTTTCTGTGGGCCACCCATGCTCTGTGTGACTTTGATGTTTGAGAGTGCCAAGTTTCATCAACCAACAGTAAAACTTTTCTTGCGATCATCAGCTAAACAATTTTTGTTTTTGAAACTTATCCTATCTCACACTGTTTGTTTCTTCCTCAATCCTTGTGTGGAAACCTATTCTTATTTATCATAATATGATATATGATTTCCAAAGGTGCAGTCAACCATATGTATGAACTCTTTCTTCAAATGGGCCAATGGTCTGAAACTTAATGATTAAAACTAATTCTGTGGAAACGGTCCCTAGAACTAGATTCCAGCTCCAAAACACAACACACCCAAACACATCCCAGCTGTCTCCATGACAACCATCGTTGTCCTGACACTAAGAAGTGTAGCAGATGCAAAGATTTGTCAATGGATGACTTTTCTCCAAAAGTGCACATACAGGACATCCTTGTCACATTACCCAGGGATGAGAATCTTCCATGAATTTCCGCAAATTTTAGTGACCACAAATTTGTTAAAATTTGATGGCTTCCCCCATAAAAACGCCCCCATTTTATGGACCATGCTCATCTGCAAAGATGTTACAGCTGAATAGGAAAATATCCATTCTCTAGTCCGAAAGGGGCGGTCGGGTAGCCTAGTGGTTAAAGCGCTCGCTCGTCACGCCGAAGACCCGGGTTCGATTCCCGACATGGGTACAATGTGTGAAGCCCATTTCTGGTGTCCCCCCAGCCTTGATATTGCTGAAATATTGCTAAAAGCGGCGTAAAACCATACTCACTCACTCACTCTAGTCCGAAATCCTAGTATGTAGTATGAGTCAGACTGGATGTGTAGAACAGTGTTAGAATTAAAGTGGTTCCAGGGGCCCTTGAGGTGTCCTCCTATAGTATTTGAACTGTTGACATTTGGGCTATGACAAGGACCCCATGTCTGTCGTGCTTGATTTCAAACACAAACAAATATAAGGTTACCAGTATTCTGAATATGAAGCATGAGACAACATAACACTATCGTGCATGTGGCTGTTTGTACATTGTGTTTGTGCCCTGTGTGCCAAGTCAAACTAACACTCAGCGATGTTAGGATCGTCCCTAACATGCATGGTGCATTCTTTTCACAAATACATCTCTGCGCTTCTTCAACACATCATGTGTCCACCAGTAGTGTGGGATGACTTGAATATGTATCCAGTGTTCACCAGACACCAAAAACCTGCATATTTGGCAGAGTTTTGAAAATACGCAATTTAATAACCTTATTGCATCATGGGGTGTTGTAGTGAAGGCTGCCTGCATTACCTAAACTGTATTTTTTTTGTTTAAACATATTTTATCCAACTGTGCACTTTCTCTCCGAGGTTCATAAACTGTATGAAGATGTAACAATACAATCATGCTTTCTCTTTCGTGTATTTTACTCCTGAACATAATGGCAGGCCCCTCCCAATAACTGAGTCCTGTATATTGCTCAAGTCTGTCCTTCCAACCAGTTGTAGGATGCGGAGTCTGATGAAGGCAGCCATGTTGGATCCTGTCCAGGCTGTTGTGGAGGATGTGGCAGGAAAGGAGGAGAGTCGCCGCCGTTGCTCGGAAAACGTCATACACCAAACTGATCAAATACTCCGCAAACTGCTGGCAATTCGTATGAAGTCAGCTAAAGGTAAGGGAAAGGAATCTCGTACAACAATAGCCTAATTTGTAATCATTTTGCCTTAACAGTTACAGTTTGCTGAGGCAGTTCGGTGACTATTTGAATATCATTACATGATTTTGGCAAAATAAATTCTTCAAATAGAAAGTCATACTTTTACATCAGTATCTTTGTCTAGCTCCAAACCCAGCCTTTCCAGTATTTCAGTCATCCACATCTGCAGGCCACAGGCCTTGAATACAGTGGTCGTGAAAAATGAGTATATTTGATTTAGGCATGAAATGTCAAATTTTGGCTTTGAAATTGGCATTTCTCTTTTGGGGTTTGTCAAACATTTAATTATCTTCAGAATTGGACATTTTGGAGAAATAATTGGTGGAGGCTTCTTGCCTACCCTGAAGAAAACTGTCAAGTCATGTCAACATGTTTGAATAGAAATAGGATTGTTGCATTTTTTGAGTACTTGAAAAAGAAAATGTTGCCTTGAAAAGTCCTTAAAAAGTTCTTGAATTTCTTGGGCCCATGGGCAGTGGGGTAGTCTGTTGGTTAAAGCATTTGCTCATCACAACAAGGATCCGCATTCAATTCCCCACATGGGTACAAAGTGTGAAGCCCATATTTGGTGTTCCCATTCGTATGTTGCTGGTATATTGCTAAAGCAGAGTAAAACCATATTCACTGGCTCACACACACACACACACACACACACACACACCACCACACACACGCACACATGCTTTATGAGTGCAATATTCTTGAACACGACGTTGAGGGGATGAAACAAGGACTGGTCAGCTCGGAGTCTGAGAAGGGTATCCATGTTAAACTTCGGCATGATATCTCAGTGGAACTCACAAGAGTGGATTGATGCGACCCCATTAAGTCATGAAGTATATTTCAAAATCAAACTAAATTTTCATGTGTTTTTCTGTTACAGAGGCGCAGTTGTCAAAAGCAAATTTAAGAAGTTTGTCTACAAAACTAATAGAAGTGAAGTCCGCCTTATTGGCTGAGATGAGGTCAGGGCATATTACTGTTGCCGTGGAATCCCAGGATGCATCAAAGGATGAAGAAAGTGAACTCTTTCAGTTTGTGAAAAAACTATTTGAGTCAAGACTAGCCCCAACAAGTTGACAGGGGATGATGTAATATTTTGTATTGTTTCAAGCACTACTGTGATAAACATATAACAATAGAGTCATTCCTTTATTTAGATTAAATGTGGAGGTGTGGGAGTCCCACATTTTCAGATTGTAAAATGTGTTTGTATTTTTGTCCTCATGTTTGGTTTTGGTTTGGTTTGTAGTTTAACGCCGCAGTCAGCAATATTCCAGCTATATGACGGCGGTCTGGAAATAATCGAGTCTGGACCAGACAATCCAGTGATTAATATCATGAGCATCGATCCACGCAATTGGGATCGATGACACGCATCAACCAAGTCAGCGAGCCTGACCACCCGATCCCGTTAGTCGCCTTTTACGACAAACATAGTCACCTTTCACGGTAAGCATGGGTTGCTGAAGACCTATTCGAACACGGAATCTTCACGGGTGTTGTCCTCATGTAACACAGCTAATACACAAACATACACTGCGCCGTCAGCTCCTCTCCTCTGATGTCTTGATGGTGGCATGCCTGCTGGATACAAGTTGCTTGGTTTGTTGGTTTTGTGTTTTACGCCACACTCAGCAATATTCCAGCTATATGACGGCTGTAAATAATCGAGTCTGGACCAGACAATCCAGTGATTGATATCAAGAGCATCGATCCACGCAATTGGTATCGATGACATGCATCAACCAAGTCAGCGAGCCTGACCACCTGATCCCGTTATTCGCCTCTTACAATATGCCCACCTGTGAAACTGTTTAAAAACCTTTCCCACACGACATCACAGGGCTTGTAAAAATGCAGACAATTTTGCCATGTTATAGAAGGATTAATTTTTAATCTCTGAAAGGAGTGTAATTATATTGTAATATCTCTTGTGTACATAATCCTCCTTTGGAATATGTTTTGAGGTGATTTACAAATTGAAATGCAAAGATGAACCAAGAAATCAGTTTGTACAGAACTAAATTGTTAGAATTCGTAAATGAATATTAAAAACAATATTGAATCTCAGTTTTAAGTTTACAATTAAAAAAAGTAATACAAAGGGTCTATGGAGTGGAATATGTAAGAGGCTTGGAAGCTGGAAGTATTTATCAGATATGTATTTCCATCCAAGTTGGACACAAGTTAGGTCATAAAATGCCTCGAATTGCTCTCGTGTCACACTTATATAAGTACAGCCAGCCTTCTAGAAACCGTTCCCATCACAAAACCTCTCGAACAAGCTATTTTGGGCTTGTCAACAACTAAGGGGGGTAACTCCATATCAGAATTCTTTTCACAATCTGGCCAGTGCAGCACTCAATATTTTACGAGCGTTTCAGACATTTGTAGCCACTAACGATTCCTACATATACACTTTATCTCTACTGAGACAACAAATTACAGGTCTGCAAACAAGCACAGGTGGCATAGTGGTACAAGGTACTGTCAGGGTCAGCTTCTCATGGGTTGAAATTGTCAGATTGCTCTGAATGTGATCTTTAGTCTGTCAGCACACAGGAACTTCTTGTTGTACACAAGAATTTAAGATATCAGTTTTCATAAGCCATGTATCCCCATAGGACTATGGGTGTGTAGTCTGTCATACAGACCCTGAAACAAATATATCCAATACAACCCATGCAAGTCTATAATATTTAGCAAGTCTAGATTACTGTAGTATGTGAAAATGAAGAGTCTCTGGGCTCCTTTTTATTATTTTGTCATAATCTAACAACAGTTTTTATCCGTAAAATATGTTCAAATCAGAGACTAGATGTTAGTTTAATGGCTGTGCAGCGTTGTCTCTTAGGTAGGCCATGATCCGATGATCGTGGGTTCAAATCCCAGATTCACCCGACTATGAGTCTCGGTTTATCTATCTAGGGCCTCACTACAGATAAGAGCACATGCAAGTATCATGATACGTATCGGATCGTGAGCAAGGTATCGTGATACACTTTGGAACACACAGTTGGTGTATCGTCCCAGCCCTAATACTCGCTCGCTCACTCACTCACTCACTCACTCACTCAGAGTACCACAGGAACTGCAAGCTGTATGTCAACTCTATATCCCCGTGGTGATGCCGGGTTAGAATTGGCGCCTTGCGACCTGTGCTGGTCGTAAGAGGTGACATAATGGATCAGGTGGCTTGAAGCCATATCACTAACACACATAACCCAATATGAATATTTATAATATATGTGCAGCTACAAATCAGAGTAAGCACCTACTCGTAAAGATCCGGGGTAGAATAGGTCTTCAGGAACCCATGCTTGTCGTAAAAGGTGACTATGATTGTCGTAAAAGGCGACTACCGGGATTGGGTGGTCATGCTCGCTGACTTGGTTGATGCATGTCATCAATCCAAATTGCGTGAATCGATGTTCATGATGTCAATCACTGGATTGTCTGGTCCACACTCGATTATTTTACAGACTGCCGTCATACAGCTGGAATATTGCTGAGTGCGGCTTTAAACAACAAACCAACCAACCATAGTAAGCACCATACTAGTGACCACGGGTTTCTCACATGTAAAATCTGGGACCTATTCACAGAAATGCTGCTATTACTTAAATGAAACTGTCTCCGTGGTGTAGTGGATGGAGAGTCTGATCAAAGAGCAGGTCTTTGACTTAGAGGTGACTAACGGGATCGGGTGGTCAGGCTCACTGACTTGGTTGATGCATGTCATCGATCCAAATTGCGTTGACCAATGTTCATGATATCAATCACTGGAATGTTTGGTCCAGACTCAATTATTTACAGACCGTCATATAGCTGGAATATTGCTGAGTGCGGCGTTAAACAACCAACCAACAACAACCAACTATAAGCTACCTCACTAGAATGCATTGATGCAACAAGGATAGTACAAGCAGCCACACATATTTGCTTGCACGTCCCCATAAAAGTGAAATAATCCTGAATGTGACCCAATTTCACTTCACCTCATCTCACCTTATGTAACTGAAAAAAATTTCAAATAGCCCCTTCATCATGCAAAAGTTGCCCTGGCCTGACATGGTTGACATATGAATCCACCTGTGAAGATCCGGTGACTTTGCTTGTCGTAGGAGGCAACTAACGGGATCAGGTGGTCAGGCTTGCTGGTTGATGCATGTCATCGTATCCCAATTGCGTAGATTGATGCTCCTAATATCAATCACTGGATTGTCTGGTCCAGACTGCCTTAGTATGGCTGGAATATAGCTGAGTGTGGCATTAAACAACAAACAAAATATATGAATCTTACATGTCTTTTACCTGGCATGACTATAGTACTGAACACACAAGATAATTTCCCATTCACGACTGAATGTTGCTTTACAATTCTGCAACATATCTGCAAGGAGGAAATCTAGGAAAAGAGACATTGGTAATGGTTAGGGGTATTTGTATAATGACAGTTATGTTCTAGTGTTTAGGCACTGAGTAATGCCATAGTTTTTTCTGTTATTTTGCTTGGATCCCAGTGGAGATTGTGGGTCAGCAAACTTTGATGGTTGTGACCAACTGGATCAGGTGGTCAGGCTTGGTTCATTGCGTGTCATCAGACCCCAAATAATTGGATCGTTGCTCACAATATCGATTCTGATCCAGTGTACAAACCGCAGTAATATGGCTGGAATATTGCAAAGTGCCTCGTTAAACAACACCCAAAAAATTTTATTTTGCTTGCAACTGGGGCTTAGTGGCGAGGCATAATCAGTCGAAAATATAATGTGTTAACTTTCTGTACAGCAATCAGTATTTACGTTAAATAAAACCAATATTATTGTGTTGTTTTATTATGCCATTTTGTTTATTATCATTAATATCTTTCATTAACAACAAAAATCTAGCATCCTGGTTATTGAGGTAGCCTATATAATAATATATAGTCAGGTATATAATATATATAATATAGTAATCAGGTTATATATAAAGGTTCCCCAAAACACCTTCTTTATGAATTGTTTGATAGGCATTTCTTTAAAGTTGATGGATGGCAAAGTAGACACAATTTATGGATAACTTCTTTAGCTTGACAACGGTGTAAGGATCTATACCGAAACGTCGCCATAACAGTAAAATACAGAAGTTGTTATCCATAAATTGTGTCTACTTGACCTTCTTAATGATTATGACAATATCTTTACATGCTTGAAAATATTGCTTAAATTTATCATTAATTCATGGTGGCGATACAAGAAAACAATTATGAAATACTGCTCCACATTTGAAAGGACCAAGTCTGTATGAAGAAAGATATGATCCTGTAAGAAATTGAGTCATGTGGATCATGAGATAAGTGGTAATGTGCAGTGATGATCAAAAATGATTTGAAAGCACAGTGGGATCTAGTTAACCAACCATGTAGACAGACGGTCCTGAGAAGGATCTGGATACAGTACCTGTATTGCCAAGGGGCACAACTCTTGCTCAAACTCAAATCTTTCCAGTGTGTACAACCGTGTAACCAGTCAGATTTCTCAGCGTTACTTTATCAACTAGCACATCTCATCACCAGTGTTTAAGTACATCTGGATCAGGAAGTATCCATTACATTATGAATTGTAATTGCAACTTAAAGCAAGTCCGGAATTCTGGGAGAAGAAAGTCCAAATTAGATACCAGTATAATTTAAATTACGTACAAATGTTGGTACAAGCGTTTGTCTGTTGTACACAGACATACAGATAGATAGTCCAGTCTTGAGCACAAGCCACTGTAATCCAAACTCTCATATCACTACTTATCAATCACAAGTATCATTTTGACACATAAATTAGCACCATACTCATATATTCATTCACACATATTCTGAATCTAAAATCAACACAAGAACTTTCTCAACATTTTCTGGATAACATGTCATATTATAGGGGTATATAATCTCATCTCCTCTCCACAGAGAATTTGATGGTGGATATATCTCCTATTCCTGCCTCCATTACGTCCCCTTCAACCACAGGACCGACACCAGAGGGCGTGCCAGTCAGAAGCAGGTCACCAGGCTCCAATGTGAAGTACTGACTCACATAGCTGATGAGATATGGAACATTAAAAATCATGTCTTTTGTATTTCCATCTTGACGCTTGTCACTGTTGACCTTGAGCCACAGCTGAACATTGCTTGGATCAGGAATTTTACTTTTTTCAATGAATTCCCCAACTGGACATGACGTGTCAAATCCTTTAGCCATGGTCCATGGCTGTCCCTTCTTCTTGGCCTCGTCCTGGAAGTCTCGGGCAGTCATGTCCAGCGCCAGGACGTAGCCCCCCACGTGCTTCATGGCATCGGGTTCAGCTACGTCACATGCTTTTTCTCCAATCACAACGCCAAGCTCCACTTCATGATGTAGTGAGCTACATCCTTTGGGAATCTGAACAGAATAAAGACAAGCTTTGGCCTTAACATGCTTGAGCCTTTAATGAAAAATATTAATATGGAATCAGGAAAATCCTACAATCTTCATCTGACCAAGGATGATGATGCTTGCCGATACTTTTCCTCAAAATAAATTCAGAATATCTCAAAAGAACTTTACACAAAACTAAACTATTACTGTCACTTGTCTCTTTGAAGTTATTTGTTTTTCCCTCCATGACAGCATATACTTCAATATTGTCCACACATCATACAGCCGTTCCAGATAAATTCTGCGGCAATATTACCAAATTTATGCTGTAAAATTACCAAAAGTCTGAAAAAATAACATAACCAGTTTCCCCCTCAAAACTTAATACAAACCCATTTTGTTCCCTTCAAAAATATTAATCGCCTGCATTTATGGTTAGATGTCAACATAGTTAATGTAGTCATAATACCACAAGAATGTTTAAAAGTAAGAGTTTTCTATTTCAAATTTCGTTTTACTGTAGGATTCATATTTTGTATGTTTGAATCATGTTAAATGTTTGAGCATCATCAGTGCAAAATTCAATAGAAAAGCTTGAAAATAATAAAAATTAGTGCATTAATTTGACTGATAAAAAAAGGCAAATTCCGAGATTTTTCTGCAATTCTGCAGAAAGTTACATATTTTGCAAATCTTTCCACAATAGCGGAATTGTATGGGACTGATCCAGTACCTTGACAGTGTCTCCAGCTGTCACATAGGCTGTGGTCGGCTTCAAGAACAGGATCGGCTTTTTGGGGACTGGGTTGCCAAGCTCAGCAGCATGTTCACTGGAAAGATTACACAGACACCCATGCTGGTTGAAATAGATCATCAACGGTTTATCAATCCCCAAAATATTTTTCTGTTGTCAAATATCTAATTCACTTGCCCGATTTTCACAAGTATTGTTTCATTCCCAACAAACACAAATCTTAGAGTTGAAAGATTGGTTTTGCCTGCTTTGTGCCTCATGAGCTAGTGTAGAGTTAGTGATTGAATGTTGTTTAATGTCACAAGTGGCAATATTCCAGCTCCATCAAAGCGGTCTGTAAACTTATCAAGTCTGGGACAGGCAAATGGTGATGTATTGTAATTAAGGTGTATATATCACTGTTGTGTGTTACACTTGGGGCAGCACATGAAGAAATACAATTAAAAGTCACCTGAAACAACATTTAAGCAGAATAGTGTATAATTATTTTTTTTAACTGTTAAAAAAATGTAAATCTGTGTATTCAAATTAATTCCACTTTATTTGCTTTCATTTCTCATGTTCAGTGAATGCACAGATTACCGCGCTGCAATTAATTGTCCATGAAGAGTGAGTTGGGCTTAATTAACATTACTAGGAACCGTATAATGGTTATATCATGACGTGTCAGCTCACTTAGAGTGAAGCATCAGTGATACAGGTCTTCGGTGTTACTACTCTGGTGAAGCCATAGTCAAGAGCCGCGATGGGAATCTTCAGTCAGGACATAATCATACATCACGTGATGTAGGGTCATGTCTGTCTGTAGGACCTCATCGCGGCTCTCAGCTAGTGAAGCCACATCACGTGATGTAGGGTCATGTCTGTCTGTCTGGAGGACACCATCGCAGCTCTCAGCTAGTGAAGCCACATCACGTGATGTAGGATCACGTCTGTCTGGTGGACCACATCGCAGCTCTCAGCTAGTGAAGCCACATCACATGATGTAGGGTAATGTCTGTCTGTAGGACCCCATTGCAGCTCTTAGCTGGTGAAGCCACATCACGTGATGTAGGGTTATGTCTGTCTGGTGGTCCACATCGCAGCTCTCAGCTAGTGAAGCCACATCGCGTGATGTAGGGTCATGCATGTCTGTAGGACCCCATCGCAGCTCTCAGCTAGTAAAGTCACATCACGCGATGTAGGGTCATGCATGTCTGTAGGACACCATCGCAGCTCTCAGCTAGTAAAGCCATATCACGTGATGTAGGGTCATGCATGTCTGTCTGGTGGACCACATCGCAGCTCTCAGCTAGTGAAGCCACATCACGTAATGTAGGGTTATGTCTGTCTGTAGGACACCATCGCAGCTCTCAGCTAGTGAAGCCACATCACGTGATGTAGGGTCATGTCTGTCTGTAGGACCCCATCGCAGCTCTCAGCTAGTGAAGCCACATCACGTGATGTAGGGTCATGTCTGTCTGTAGGACCTCATCGCGGCTCTCAGCTAGTGAAGCCACATCACGTGATGTAGGGTCATGTCTGTCTGTCTGTAGGACACCATCGCAGCTCTCAGCTAGTGAAGCCACATCACGTGATGTAGGATCACGTCTGTCTGGTGGACCACATCGCAGCTCTCAGCTGGTGAAGCCACATCACGTGATGTAGGGTCACGTCTGTCTGGTGGACCACATCGCAGCTCTCAGCTAGTGAAGCCACATCACGTGATGTAGGGTCATGCATGTCTGTAGGACCTCATCGCAGCTCTCAGCTAGTGAAGCCACATCATGTAATGTAGGGTCATGTCTGTCTGTAGGACACCATCGCAGCTCTCAGCTAGTGAAGCCACATCACGTGATGTAGGGTCATGTCTGTCTGTAGGACACCATCGCAGCTCTTAGCTAGTGAAGCCACATCACGTGATGTAGGGTCATGTCTGTCTGTAGGACACCATCGCAGCTCTCAGCTAGTGAAGCCACATCACGTGATGTAGGGTCATGCATGTCTGTCTGGTGGACCACATCGCAGCTCTCAGCTAGTGAAGCCACATCACGTAATGTAGGGTTATGTCTGTCTGTAGGACACCATCGCAGCTCTCAGCTCGTGAAGCCACATCACATGATGTAGGGTCATGTCTGTCTGTAGGACACCATCGCAGCTCTTAGCTAGTGAAGCCACATCACGTGATGTAGGGTCATGTCTGTCTGTAGGACACCATCGCAGCTCTCAGCTAGTGAATCCACTGAGTATGGGCTGTGCTGACAGACCAAGGATCATAATCAGGGAACATGTGGGATTCAAATTCACGATCATCGGATCCTGGCAAGGCACAGGGATCAACTCAGACCAAGGCCCTCCTACACGAGGGTTCAAGACTACAGTAATTTGCAACTCCTGAATGTCCCACAAATATGTGAGTCAATTATTGTTTTATGCTGCATTTCACTACGACTACAATGTCCCAGTCGAAACTGACAGAAAATTGCTTGCAAAATTATTTCCACACAAGATCTAAAACTTTCTTTGGTGAGTAACTTCGAAGCGCCAATACTGTGTGCACTAGCCACGATGGGATCCTTCAGTCAAGACATGACCCTACATAATGTCTTGACTGTAGGAACCCACCGCGGCTCTCGGCTATGTGTGCACCCATAACTTACAACACTGATTCTGCACTCTGGACCATGAAAATGGGTCAAGAATATTTATCAGCCATAGTGCACTAGGTCACTATTTGTTTACAACTGACATCAGATGTACGCTTATTTGATCATTTTTTACTTTGGCCAACAGAAACTTTAATCCTTTCTTCCACTATCAAACATGCATTCACAATAACAACTTCATTATTTTGTCATCTCTCTGCTGAAACGAGATCGTCCAAGAGCTCTCTTTTAGCGTCTTTCAATATTGCTCAAAGGCATTATCTTGACAGTAATTAAGTTTACCTGTAGTTTCTACCAACACATATTATCTTCTTGCCAAACTCCAAAAATCTGGCAACTTTTGTAGTATTCGACATATTTCAAAAATATTCCCCGCTAACAGCAAACCAGGCGAAATATTCTGTGACTGCGACCATCAGTTAGAGTTATCCGCCCTTGATCAGTATCGAGTCTAATTTAGAGTTGCCTCCCTTATATCGTGAATGGGCACGTGTTCCTATCATTTTTCTTCTAGGGCAGATATAACCAATAGTTATTTCGCATGAAAGGTATCGGGGATGTTATAAAAATTTATCAATCCAAACTGGCTTCCACTGGAGACGTGACTTGGATGAGATTAAGTGATATCTCCTTGAAAATACGACTGCAAAAGAACTGTATTACAATGCATTGCTTTGTGATGTCATTGTCACCATGACGTCATTATCAAATGACATCACTAACCTTTATGACACTGAAGCTGGTTAGCTGTACTTAGTGCTCTTCAAGACACTGGTTATTATTGTTCACGGGCTAAACAGTTCGAAGAACATTTTTTTATGATGAATAGAATATCACCCTGTGTCTTTAGATCACTTGTTGATATAAGTCTAAAGTGCTCGGCAAGCCTTTGTTGATATATTTAATATCAAAATACACTTTGGTGAGATTTTCTAAATACCATCTCACTTATAAAACATTATGCACCGAACATTTAATTGCATACATATGCATACACAGTGTGTGTGTGTGTGTGTGTGTGTGTGTGTGTGTGTGTGTGTGTGTGTGTGTGTGTGTGTGTGTTTGTGTGTGTGTGTGTGCGTGCGTGCGTGCGTGCGTGTGTGTGCGTGTTCGTGTGTGTGTCTGTGTGTGAGTGTGTCTGCCTGTGTGTATGATTGTGTACTGCAGTATACTATCAAACGTTATGTAAACATTAATAACGAAACATCAACTTTCATTAAACATCATTCAGCACCCAACATTATTTATTCCATCTCAGTAATGGTGAAATTATCAATATCAACAACCAATCTCGTATCCAAATTGTTGTTTATCGATGGAATTTTAATGGCTCGCACATATAGAATCCATATGATGCTGACTCTAAGACTTGCCAAACCTCTACCGGAATCAACCTACAAGAACTCTACGACCTGCACCACACTGGACCTTCCTCGAACATGAGTGAGTGAGTGAGTATGGTTTTACGCCGCTTTTATTCCAGCAATATCACGGCAGGGGACACCAGAAATGGGCTTCACACATTGCACCCATGTGGGGAATCGAACACTTTAACCACTAGGCAACCACCCCCACCCCCCGAAAAACGAAACTGTCATCATCCCGTAATAAAGCAGAACTACGAAGTTTAGCCAACTCACTCACTCACTCACTCACTCTCACCCTCACTCGCTCACTCACTCACTCTCACCCACCCTCATTCACTCAGTCTGACACTCACTCACTCTGACATTCACTCACTCACTCACTCACTCGTGATCGTGATCAGTTTATATATTCATCGTTTATATATGCTTCCCGCCACACTTGTTTGGTTGTTTTTGTTGTATTCCCGTAGAGGCTGACTATTTTAGTACGTGGTAAATGCTTCACCCTTGCCCACATGCAGATTGTATTCCCAAGACGCACATCTGAGAATTCGTATACCCACGTGTGATCGCAAACACAGGTATCGCCCATGTGTCTACACACGTAACCCCGGGTTGTTCCGGAGTGGAATAGGTCCCCAGTACCCTAGACAACAACTTCAGTGACTGAGGTAGTGAGTGTGATTTTACGCCGCTTTTAGCAATATTCCAGCAATATCACGACGGGGGACAGCACACTGGGCTTCACATATTGTTGTTTGTACTGTCTCATGTATACTACCCCGGCCATGCCTACTACACCATGTCTATCACGCCATGCCTACTACCGATTGCCTACTGTCCCATGTATACTACCCCGGCCATGCCTACTACACCATGTCTATCACGCCATGCCTACTACCGATTGCCTACTGTCCCATGTATACTACCCCGACCATGCCTACTACACCATGTCTATCACGCCATACCTACTACCGATTGCCTACTGTCCCATGTATACTACCCCGGCCATGCCTACTACACCATGTCTATCACGCCATGCCTACTACACCATGTCTATCACGCCATGCCTATTACCGATTGCCTACTGTCCCATGTATACTACCCCGGCCATGCCTACTTCACCATGCCTATCACGCCATGCCTACTACCGATTGCCTACTGTCCCATGTATACTACCCCGGCCATGCCTACTACCCCATGTCTATCCCGCCATGCCTACTACCGATTGCCTACTGTCCCATGTCTACTACCCCAGCCATGCCTACTACACCATGTCTATCACGCCATGCCTACTACTGATTGCCTTCTGTCCCATTTATACTACCCCGGGCCGCCTCCGTGGTCTTGTGGTAGAGCGTCCGCCCGGAGAGCGGAAGGTCCGGGGTTCGATCCCCGGCCGCGTCATACCAAAAGACGTTAAAAGATGGTACTTGTTGTTACCCTGTCTGGCGCTCGACATTAAGGGGCTAAAACAAGGACTGGTCGGCTCGGAGTCAGTATACTGTGTCTGAGTGGGGTATTCATGTTAAACTGCGGCATGGTATCTCAGTGAGCTAGCACTATAAATCGGCATCAGTCCGGACTAGTACAAGCAGCCACACACACACATACACGTGCATGCACGTCGCTATATAAGTGCAATAATCTTGGACGCGACGTAAAACCCAATTTCACCTCACCTATACTACCCCGGCCATGCCTACTACACCATGTCTATCACGCCATGCCTACTACACCATGTCTATCACGCCATGCCTACTACTGATTGCCTTCTGTCCCATGTATACTACCCCGGCCATGCCTACTACACCATGTCTATCACGCCATGCCTACTACCGATTGCCTACTGTCCCATGTCTACTACCCCAGCCATGCCTACTACACCATGTCTATCACGCCATGCCTACTACTGATTGCCTTCTGTCCCATTTATACTACCCCGGCCATGCCTACTACACCATGTCTATCACGCCATGCCTACTACACCATGTCTATCACGCCATGCCTACTACTGATTGCCTTCTGTCCCATGTATACTACCCCGGCCATGCCTACTACACCATGTCTATCACGCCATGCCTACTACTGATTGCCTTCTGTGCCATGTATACTACCCCGGGCATGCCTACTACCCCATCCAATACCTGTCGACCACACTGAGATCGGGGGTTACATTGTGTTACCGTCTAACCGCGCGTCATCGGTCCCTGACGGTGCATTGCCTTGCTCATGATATCGACCACCGGTTTGCCTGGCAATGTTATAGACTAACACTTGGTCAATGAAAACATGTCTTTAAAAAAAAAAATTCTTCGAAAGAACCTCAACTCTTCTGCTGTTTTCTGCTGTGGAATCAAGCAAACTAGACTTGGTTAGTTTGATCTAGACTTGCCTAGGCTTTTAGTAAAAGAAATTACCTAAAAAATATAAATTCCACAGTCATGGCGCAGGACTAGCGATGTCAGTACGCTAGTCAAAATACATCTTCATGTATTATTACCACATAAAAATACGTTCAACAATATTTGTTATTAAACTCAACCGTTGGTATAACTGGTCCATGTTCGATCAATAAACGTGCACTGTGAGATACATGTAAAATTGCTGCGGCCTAAAACGTCATCACTCGCTTGTGCCGAAAAACAGTCGAAGAATAAGTTCCCTGTTTATTTCCTGGGTATGTGATAACACTGTTAGATAACTGTCAAGTGACACTGGCTCATCTGGTATACCATCATACCCCGGGTGGATCGACGCTCTACCAACCACCGGGTCGACTGATAGCGGACGACGGGATATATATATATAGCTGTAGTAACGTCGGCTAGCTTTACCTCACTTAAAACTCACGCAATAACAAGGTCTGAACATATTTAAGAAGTAACGTCTTCAGTCTGGCCGTAATGGACGCTTATCATTCATTAGCCTGATGTATACATCGAGCACCATAATGAATCACATTTGGTATTATTTGTTATAGAAACACTGCGATTAACCCAGTTTCCCCTTTTCGAAACACGCCATTTCCCCCACACCTGTTACCCTACCGCGGATAGCAGGTTGTTATTGTATTTAGAAAGTTTTAAACACATATTTCCGCTGTATTTCACATCGTGTGCGTTGTCACGTACGTAAAGCGGGTCACACAAAAGCTGGAAGACGTAGTCAGTTTACATTTCACAAAAAACATCAACACTGGATAAATGTCCATCCTTTATCACGCATTGAAGTTCCTGTGAAACTGGCCCGCTCGAGTTAATGAGCGCTCCACCAAGGTAATGGCGGACGGCTATGTTGTTACAATGTCGAAGCTTATTCTGTTCACGACTGAATAAAAGCAGTGTTTCTGTGGGTCGTGACACGGGTATCCTTGCCGAGAAGGAAATAGGTTAAAGGTTTGGGAAATTGATATCCGATACGGGTAGTGATGGCTTAAACGAGGCATTCCGCAGTTCAATTTTGCGATAACACATTTTTATCAAGATAAATTGGAAACGTCATATTCTACCTGTACGTCGTATCCGGCCAACCCCGTATATTATATTCCCCTGGAGATTTCGCTGCCTTGTGTACAAGATGTTGGCGACAAAAATTGGGTTTGTTTATTGCGTGAGCAAGATGAATCGACAACGATGCTCATGCTATCAACCACCAGTTTACACGTCTCAGGCTCCATGATTTACACGGCGCCGTGACATCACTGGAATGTGTCTGACAGTTATCGTAAATCCAATAGACAACCCACGAGAACGGGCGTTGTGCTGACCAATGATCGCGATGAGGTATATTGGGGAATAAAAACAACGAATGCCGGGTCAGTTGACGACGTATATATAAGACCTGTGAAGATCCGGGACAGAATAGGTCTTCAGCAACCATTACTTGCCGTGAAAGGCGACTATACTTGTCACAAGAGGCGACTAACGAGATCTGGTGGTCAGGCTCGCTGACTTGGTTCTTGGACTTGACTTGGACTCTGTTTTGGTATACAGCGCCCTGGAGGGGATATATGAAGCAATGGGGACTTGGGGTATATCCGGGTTAGAATAGGTCTTCAGG